CATACATCAAAGGAGGTTTCATTCATTATACTTAGGTTTGCTTTAGGTAATTACTTTTTACAGATAGCAACAGAAAGGATGTTATGGATTACTTCCTACAGATTAACAAGGAAAAAATGTTGCAAATGCAAGGGAATGATAAGGGTAATTGGTCTGGTTACACTTCAGTCCTTGGGAGAATTAGCACAGACTTCAGGAAGTTACTTTAAAGATATGCAGTAAGCATTTTCTGCCTCAACTCAGGGTGAGGAAGTTTTAGCAAGAGCAAGTCTCAATGCAGCCTAGGAATAATGCAAGTCTGATTTCCCATGGGAAAGCCGATCCACGTGTTTGGCATCCTGCGTGCCACCACGCGCCTATGGGCTTTCCCATAGGGCTGAGCTACATTTGCCACTCCATGCAGATACGTTCCTTACACTCCCAGTTTTCTCTTTCTTTTGATACCTCTCCAGTAAAGATGTAAGGATGGATTGGGATGGGAAGAGTTCAATGTAAATACCCATAAGTGTGTTTATTTAGTGGTATACTGATTTTTGTTTTCACAATATTAAAATTATATCATATACATTATTCTTATGTTGGCTTTTACCGCTTAATATATCATGGATATCCCTCCAGGTAAATATAACTCATTTGTAAATTAATAGTAAATATTTCATTCATAACAGGCTATTACTAAAATTTGTTCAACTATTTTCCTATTTGTTGATAGTACAACCGATTTCAATTTTTCCAATCTACAAACAATTTTATAATAAAATATTTGCACATAATCTCTATGTACTCATGAGTATATTATACCTCCTTTCAATCTCTCTCTCTCCCTCTCTCACACATGCACACAAATATACACACCCCATTCAGGTAGACCTTGAACAATGCACTGGGAGTTGCCTGACATTCACTGCTGGAGAGAATATGACAATAGATATTTCGTAAGCAGGGCTTGTTCCTTTCCTTGCCTCTCTTTCCTCATCTCTGTTTTTCCCTGTTGAAAGTCAAAGATACAAGGTGGGCAAAAGTAGGTTTATAGTTGTAATACAAATAAGTGCTATAATACTTAATAAATAAAAGAAGAATAAAGTTGCATACTCACAATTGGAAACCTACTTTTGCTTACCTTGTGAGAGCTTACATTGATTATATTTTTTCCTACATTAAACACCGTGAATTGAGAGGTAGTGACGTCTCTGACCCTGAAAGTGAATAACCAGCCCACAGAGAGTTCCTGCCATCATTCTCTGAGACATTCTCTACACAGGGTAGAGGTTGGATAGAATGATGTGGAAAGGACATACAAATTTTGATATTTTATAAGTATCAGGTACACTTCTGTTTTCTTCTGCTGTTTTGTGTTTGTGTATATTTCTTTGTTTCAATTCCTTTATGTATTTTTCATCTTTTATTTGTTATCTCTGTGTCCCCTTAATATAATTTTTGTTAGTAAATTTATTTGGGTTTCATGCAGACATTTCTATTAATAGCTCAATATTGTTCACCTATCTTTCTCTGAATTCTACTTGTTCTATTCTGCATATTATTTTTTAAGAGTTTCCTCTTACTATTGTAATTTTTGCTTGTCCACATGTCATACTGAATAACAGATGAGTAGTTTAAAATCTAGCTTATAATTTTCCACTAAGAATTATGTAGGTATAATATTGAATATAAATTAATTCTGTGCTTATGGACTAATTATTTTTCATTTGCTCTTTTATTACCATAAACCACTATCACTTATTTATATTTCCTTTATTATATTACTGATTAGCAAGAGTTTAAAAGAATTGTAAATCACTGGATTTTATTCATCTATTCATTTATTCAATAAATATATGTCAAGCCCCTATATATAGTATTTATAGAAGGTTCTCAATGTATACTTGTTGAATGAATGTGTACAATGTGCCGGGCACTGTCCTAATAGCAGAAACACAAAGATGAATAAGATATGCAAGGTCCTTCTCTAGGGAGCTTTTCTTCAGGGCTGTGTGTGTATATTTTATATTTGTATTTGTAGTGGAATGTAGAGAGTGATAAACAAGTAAACATATAAAGTAATGTCAGCTGATGATGCAGACTAAGATCCAGTGTATCTCTCACTACTCAGGACATTAAATTAATTATGAGGCCTGTATTTTCACTTGCCATTGGTCTGAAACAGGGACCCTAAATAATCTTGTTGTGAGGCAAGACCACACCCAGCTGTCCCTGATCCAGTGATCCCCACTGTCTGCTTCTGCAGGAATGAGACCCAAAAGCTGTCCCACTGCTGCCCCCTGCACAGGTACATCAGCCCCTCCCAGCTTCCCTGTGGGCTCCCAGGGCTCCTTCTCTCCCACCAAGGATGGTAACAGGATGTGCTGCTATCTGGTCAGACAAACACAGGCTCCGACTCACGGATGGAGGCACTGAGTGCTCAGGACGAGTGGAGGTTTGGCACAATGGCTCCTGGGGCACAGTGTGTGATGACTCCTGGAGCCTGGCAGAGGCCAAGGTGGTATGTCAGCAGCTGTACTGTGGCTCTGCCCTGGAAGCCCTGAAAGAGGTGGTGTTTGGCCCAGGAAGTGGGTAAATCTGGCTGGATGAGGTGCAGTGCAAAGGCAGGGAGTCCTCCCTGTGGGCTTGTGCTGCAGAGCCCTGAGGGCAGATAGACTGCAAGCACGAGGAGGATGCTGGAGTGAGGTGCTCTGCTGAGTGAGAGGTCCCAGGAGTTGTGTACTGATTAAAGGAGGTATGACTTTGTACTCAGATGTACTTCCTCAATTAACCTGCTATTCTGTGCTCTGGCTCCAGGACAGACTATTGACTGATCTCCTGTGATAGAAGAGACACTCATATTTTTAGGGGCCTGCTCCATGGAATTTACATATTTCTGGCAAAATTAATCATGTCAGTATAGGAAAGACCTAGTGATTGGGTACTTATAATCCTATAAAGTTGTAGCAACTGTAATGGTCCAAAGCTTTACCAGCTACCATTTTATAAAAATCCCTTAAAACCAGGTTTAGTTTGGGTTGACAAAGCTCAGGGCAGGACCTAGGTTGATCGCATCTTAGAGTTCAGGCACACACTGTATCTGAATGGGATTTCATCGTCTTAAGGACTCTGGAGATGATCAGGATAAAGATGGGTTCTCCTGGGCTTATCGCCCTCTCTAAAACTATATGCATAACCTTCTTCTCTGCTCCTGCAGTAATTCAGGCACAGCTCCTGCCTCTGGCATCTCCTTCTGACTAAGATCCTCTGTAATCTACCAGGGGCTCTTCTCTTTCTGGTCCTTATCATCCTAGGAATTCAGCCTGTGTGAGCAGAGAGCAGAGCCCCACAGTGGACTGTAGGAAGGCTAAGTGATCTGGAAAGCAGTGGGAAGTATATTGTGCTAGTCAGTTTTAATATCAAGATAAGTGCACAAGTATTGATCCTCATCCCATTATCTGGCAAAACTCCACCTTCTCTTCAACAGACTTCAAGATTTGAAAGAAAAGAATCCTTTGAATGGAGTTGCATGTAAAACCGCTCAATAATTTTAACTTCCTTTTAAAAAATTATGACTTCCTTTGTAAATAGTGCCTGTGGAATTCAGTATAGGATAAAGATCAGGGTCAGGCAATGAGGTCTGTCCCAAACAGGCACAGGGCTAAGAACGGGCCCTGGTAGCCCACAGAGGTTTTCTAAGTGTGAGCATTGGAGAGCACTGGACGTTTTGGTTCTTATAAAGGGAACATCTGCAGGTTAGTCTCTACACTCAGTTCACATTCCTCAGTTTTATCTGCTGTCAGAGATGCTCCTAATGAGCTTGTGTACCAGGAGATTGATTACCCTGTAAAAGCAGAAAAGGAGGACTTGTCGGACAGCAGGGGTGGGTTCCATACTTTCCCCTCTGTTCATGAGCTAGCCTTGGGTTATCTTCAGCAAACACAAACCCAACCACCAACTCAGCCTCACACAATCTGCCTCCTCCTAACCCAGGAGCTGAAAGCCCTCTCTCTACAAGTCTGAGGTCTCAAGTTTGTTTCTGAACAATGACACTGGGTCTCCTACTATTGAAAAAGTTTTTCTGAATTTCTGTAATGTTTTTCTCCCTATCAGGTTACCTGTCTGATGACTCAGTGACTAAGCTGCTGTATTTTAGAGGGGACAAGGAGGGGAATAGAGACTCTGACTCTGTTCCAGATAGTAGGTCTTCCCTGGAATGGTGGGGATGAAGAGGAAGAATTTCATCTGAGGAAATTCCTCCTATGATTAGGATGGAAAGGACCCTTCTGGCCAGTTCACAATTTTCCCTCCATCTTTCCACTCTGTGACCACAGAAAAAATATCAGACTGAGTTTCTGTATCCACAGCTACTTCTACTCAGTTACAAACACACATCCAGTGTATTATTATGGATTCAACGGCCATTTTTTTAAACACCTGGCACTGATCATCTCAAAAGTTATTTATCAAGAAATAATATTAGGTAGTATGGTTGAATCCTGAGATAGTATGATATTTGGATAATTCAGTGGATTATGTATATATTGAGATAAAAAATTATTTAAATAAACCCTGAAATATATTGGCATGCTTAGTGCTTATACTTATCAACTACCAGAAGCTCTTATTTATAAGGGACCTAAGAGAGAAGAGTGTTCTCCTGGATCTTCTCCAGATAATAACAATGAACAGCTTTTGGGAGGAAGCATGGCCAGAAGAGTTCCTGGAAAATAAATTCTGAAGTCAACTGAGTTCGAGAGGGGATTAAAATCCAGACCTCCTGTGACTGGGACTAGTGGGATCTCTCTGAGTGACCTGTATCCAGGCTTCCCTCTCCCTTCCAATTCTGTGTCTTTCACAGCTTCAGAAGGCACATGGACAGCCTGGGTTCTCTTGCTCCAAATGCATCCTCCCTCAGTCACCGATATGTATATGTTTTATGTTACAACTTTGTACCATATGCTTGAAAATAGTACCTGAAACTCATCCTTGTCTGTACTTACATCCTCGTCTGTTTTCAGGGCCTTCAGGACAATATGTCAATGCCACAAGAAATGGTTATGATGATGTTGAAGAGTTACCTGTTCCTGAAACTCCTTCTTCCCTTGGAATGAGGGAGAATTATTTTTTCCCAAAAGAGGGAGGTGATGTCTGGTATTACCAAAGAGGTGAGTGGGCAGTGTGGTCTCCAGTAGCCTCACTTCCTTGTGATGGACAAGATGAGTATGGGCCTATCAATAGTCAGTTTTTCTTTACTTGGTTACTTAGATAAGATCAGCTCTTCTATATCCCAGTATATTGTAGCCATTTCATCTCTTCTGAGAAGAGAAACATACTGTGTGCATGTCCACCATCAATTGCTGTACACATCTCTATGAGTTGCAGACGCTTTGTTCCCTGGAGGCTCTGAAAACAGACAAGGACGTAGGTGAAATACCAAAATATGGCTGGACAAGATGATGCCCTAAGTCCCCTCTAATGCAGAGATTCTAACAGCTAATAAATATAAATGCCATATTCCATGATTGTCTCAAAAGTATATATTTGATCTCAATATTCTCAGACATTATTTAAGTGTTCTAAATATTCAAGTATATCAAAATCAATAATATTCTTCTAACATGGTTACTCACTTATACCATAAATCACTAACAAAAGTTATTTTGCTATAAGTTTCAAGCACTATTTTCAAGCATATGGTACAGAGTTGTAACATAAAATATATACATATCAGTGACTGAGGGAGGGTGCATTTGGAACAAGAGAACCCAGGCTGTCCACGTGCCTTCTGAAGCTGTGGCAGACACAGAACTGGCAGAGAGAGAGAAGCCTGGACACAGGTCACTCAGAGACAGATCCCACTAGTCCCAGTCACAGGAGGTCTGGATTTTAATCCCCTCTAGAGCTCAGTTGCCCTCAGAATTTAATTTATTTTATACCTCAAGAAAAAATATATGTTCTGACAATGATTATGGGGGCTCCTTCAGATTGTGAGAAGGAATCTGGAAAGTTTTTAATATCAATGTAAATTAAACTTATAAGCTATTAAAAAAATTTTGGAAGAACCATGTAACCAAATATTTTAAGTTGCATGGCCCACTATTAATGCAGAATATGCAATGGCCTAATTCAGAGTCATAACAACTCAACACTAAAAGGAAACTAAGATAAAATTTTCTCTCAATATTTCAATTGACAAAAACCTTCATTCCCTAGGACTAGACTTTCTGTTTATATGTGAGCATGTGGCCCTGGGCAGCAGGGGGATCTGACTGAGCTGCCTCCTTTCAGCATCTGACAGAGGACCCAGGCTGTTCTCATGAACACTTTGAGGCAGGTTTGGTCTGTTATTGAGGTGTTGAGGCAAGGTCATCTGAGGTGCTCTAGAGAGGTCATTTCCTGCCTCCACTTCTTAAGAAATCAGATCACTGGTATGAAAGAAAGCATCCATGTCTTTTTTTCTCTCCTTGTCATTATTCATCTACCGCCTTCCAAACTGTGGAGATCAAGACAATACTACACAGAGAAGCAGAATCAGTCTAAAGTAGTTCTGTCTAGCCTTTCACACAAACTCTGGGCCCTCACAGATATTTGGTAGCCACTTTATACTAGTCTCCTTCCTCCAGAGGACTCTGTCTTGTCTTTTTGTCACCACTGAAATCTGAATTCTCCTTACTGTTTCAGGCATCTCTCTCCAGTCTCCTAGCGAAGCTGTCAACATTTCGCTGGAAGAGAAAGGGTCCGCTTTGGTCCTGAGACAAGAAGACCCTGGGTATGATGATGTTGAGCTTAGCACCATGTAGCACCATTCTGGGAGCAAGTAACTCTTCAAAGAATCCTCTGTAACATTGTTTTTCAAATAAATGAGAGCCCTGTCTTTTTCCTTACTGCAGAGTTTTTACCTGTACCTATGATGAAAGGAAATTACTCATAATAAATACTGAGCTTCACAGATGAATGGTATTCATTAAGTATCTAGGTATTCTCACCCTGCAAAATTTTAGTCTGCAAACATTCTTCTTTCCTCAAGTGAAATCTGTTGAACAGTCAGTGCTGTCACCTCCCCTCAGACTATGCTCTCACCTTCCTTTAGGATCAGAGAGGCTCACACCTTCCTTAACCAACATAAAACTCAGAAAGCTGGCCCTGAACTGGGTGCTTACTCTTAGGAAGATAAACTCAGAAACACATAACTGAATATTCCAAAATATTTCTCCTCTCTCTAAAACCTAAAAGAGAGGTTCAAAGTGAAGGTTGGTAGGTAGAAGGGAAATGGTGGAGCTCTTCTCATTTAGCTCAAATTTTTATGGATCATTAATAACAAATATCTACATCATAACAATATCTTTTATTCTAACTGACTTTTCTCTTTTCTAGTTATTCCTCAACATCCTAAGTCACTCCATTCTCCATCAAATTGTATATTTTATGATTCATAAAACCTATCATTTTCTATTCTTTTTTAACAGTATCTCTTTTCCATTCTCTTCTCACTGTATTTGTGCAGACACCAAACAATTGTAACCTTCCAATTGCAAGAGCTTTTAAGTGGCCATATTTACTTTCAACTCTTCCTGTCCCAAACGATTGTTACATATTTACTGGAGCTGAATCAAAAGAAAGAGAGAGGAGAGAAGAGAGACAGGCACACCAAACAATGTAGTTCTCCTGCATAAAACACACTACTGATTTGTATCAGCTATACCAAAGTCTCCAAAATTCAGTTATTTGCATGCCAGCATAATGCATATTCCCCTACCTGCATTTTAACTGTATACCTACATAACCAAGATTTTCTTTACATTTACTATGTTAAAAAGATAGGTAAACATTTTGTTCAATAGTAGAATATATATTACTACCAAAAACATCTATAATACAATAGAAATTTTTCTGAACTTCACAAACTATATGTACATTTACTTTTCAAAAACTTCCCATCTGCTACCTTAAATCAAAATTTGGGAAACAGTACACTACATTATAACCCATGAAGCTCTCCACATTTGAAACTCTCTCTCTCTCTTTAGCATCATTAGCTTGTTCCTTACAGTTGTTTTAGGAACAAGCAATATTGAACTGCTCAGCATTTCCTAAACTATCAGATTCTTTTGAAATTCTGTGTTATATATATGTTTCTTCTCACTAAAATGACCTTTTTCACACTACAGTCTCTACCTTTTTCTCCCTCATTTCTCCCGATTTTGAATAAGTTGTCATTTTTCCTCATGTCAGTTCCATAAGTTAAACTGGGTTAGTGTAACCATTGAATACTTAATGAGACAGAGTCCTGCTAGAGAATATTTATATATTATTTGTTTTGTACTCCTAAAATAACTTATTTAAAAAGTGAACATATTTCTCATTTTAGAGAGTATATTTTTTGTTTTTACTACCACTTTTAATAGGTGCATGTCTTGAATTAATGTTATCTGACTCTTGCTATCACAATTCCGAGTTGATTCTGTCCCTGTGTGCCACATATTTCAAACACAAGAGACAAACAGAGCAACATTCACTCTAGCTAACCAACAATAAGCTTTTAGAATCTATGACTTCATTCATTCATCAAATGAGCACTATGACAAATTCACTAATTGATGATCCAAGTTTCTTTTGCATATCACTCTTCACCTCTTTGTATATCTTGTTAGGAATGTTTGACTGGATCTCCCTAAGTGCTAATAATTCCCTGGATACAATCTGAGACTTAATCCCTCAATAATTGTCCTAACTACACAAAATTGAACAAACTTCCCCTTTAAAGAGACTCAGCTCCCACTGAGAGAAAATAAGATTGAAAGAGAAGTAAGAGCAATCTGAGGGTAACCAAAGAGGACGTGGGAGGGGATAATGGCGGGGGGGAGTGGGGAAGGGTTTTCAGGAACAACTGAAAAGGACTCAGGGCCAAAACCAAGGTGGGGTGGAATCAGGGGAGGGAGGTGGGGATGGCTGGGGTTGGGGAGAGTGGTGAGGGGTAAATGCAGACAACTGTACTTGAACAACAATAAAACAACTTAAAAAAGAAAAAATAAAATAAAGAAAGAGAAGTAAGGCCTCTTTACTAACTCAGAATCAGGCTCTGAATAGCAGCATAAAGCAAAGAAAAGCCATGTCATTGAGATCCTGAAGATCCTCTTGCTCTAAAGAGAGTTTGACAGGATGACTTTGCACCAACCTTTGTGTGAGGATGACTTTCCTGTTACCATCTCCTCTGATCTCGGTGCATATCAACCCATTTATGCCAGTGTCAGCTCTGGGCCAGACTCAGGTAGATGGATCTGGAACATCTGGGGAAGATATTTTTTGAGTTTAGGTCTAAATCCAGAAATATAATTTACATATAAAATCAATATCCAAATTAGAGCAAAGGATATAAAGTGAAGGTCTGCAGGATAATGTTCTTGTACTTCCACCCTCTATCCATCAAGAAAAGAACCATACAGAGATAAATGCTTAGCACCTTTCACAACAGTCTGTGAAGATTATGGGATGTGACTAGAGTAAGAAGAGCAGAGGGACTGCAGAGAATTAAGCATGTTAAGTAGAGAGTTAATTTTGGTTTCTGAATTACTACAAAGGTGGTAGTTATTTGTGGGTGTTCCAAAGTTAAGATATTAAGCTCATATCCATTGAAAAATGTTAAAGTACATGTAAATAAAATAGGAAACCTACTCACCACCCTGGAATCAGTAAGTAGTGGAAGAAACAAGAAAAGATATAAAAACAAAATGATTATGTACATTTGTAGATATAAACAACAGGGAAGTTTAGTATTACACTTTACTACCCAGCAATCTCCTCTATTATTAAGGACAAAGTACAAAAATACTATAAAAGGCTAACATAACCAAAATCAAGATATAATACTAGTCAATTACCACAAAAGAACACCTTTATGCTACCTCTTTGTATTCACATTCACTTCCCACCCCACTACACCCCTCTCCCTACCACCTGGCAATTGCTAATCTGTTCACCTAAAGTTTTGTCACTTTGGTAATGTTACATAAATAAAATCACATCACCTTTGGATGGGCCACAACTTTTCTTACTAAGTATAATATTCTCTAGCCCATTTGGGCTGCTGTGTATATCAGTGGTCCATCCCTTTTTATTGATGAAAAGTATTCCATTGTGCATGTTACTTTGAAGACACTGCCACAATGGGCAATATTCCCACCAGCAATGCATGAGAAAACTAGTTTCTCTGCATCTTTATCAGCATTTGATATGATCACTATGACTCATTTTAGCTACTCTGATCGATGTGCAGTAATCAAGCTGTGCTTTTTAATTGGACTATTGGTCCATGTATGTCTAATATAATTATGATACGGTTGGGTTTAGCACTACCATTTTGCTATTTTCTATTCCCTCTCTCTCTCTCTCTCTCTCTCTCTCTCTCTCTCCCTTTTGTTCATCTTTTCCTGCCTTCTTTCTAGTTAATTGAATATATATAATATCTTGGCTTAATTCTTCTACTGGCTTTTTAGCTATATATCTTTACATCAATTTTTTGTGGTTGTTCTAGACATTAGAACATACACCACTATCTTATCACAGTCTCCTCAGAGGTCATACTGTACTACATCAGGTAAAGTATAAGAACTTTGCAACAACATGTTTCTATTTACTCCCATGCTTAGTGCTACTGCTGTCACACTTATCATACCTTGCACATATTTTGATGACTATACTGTATCTTTATGAGTGTTGCCTCAAATCATCATATATGTTTTGTAGGAATTAACAAGAAAATGAGATCTTTCATAGTTTCTCATATGTTTGCCATTTACAGTTCTAATTATTACTTCATGTAGAACTGTTTTCATCCACTATCATTTACTTCTAGCCTGAAAAATTTCCTCTAGCATTTTTGTAGTAAAAGTCTGTTAACAATGAGTCTTCTCAGTTTTCATTGATCATGAGAGTCTGGCTGCTTTGTCATAATGACTAATAAGCAGAGAAGTTTCCTACTCTTGTTGTAAACCCTGGAATGGTATATCCTCCAAAATCATCCCCTCACAAAAGGCTCATTCATAAGCAACATAGATCATTTGAAATGACTGCTGCTATTCTGAGTAAGTCTAAAAACTCTGAAAGTCTGTTCACCAGCTCCCAGCTGCTTCTTGGGCACCCAGTCTGTAGAAAGTCTTGTCCTGGAACTCTCCCAAATCTGGGTGGTGAAGCTTGTCCTAACTCTCTCTTCCTTAAATTTTTCTGATTTTTATCTCCAAAAATTATAGTAGTCAGCTCTCTTTTGTGACTTCATTTAACACCATGCATCAGAAGTAAAAATCTAATATTTTTTGTGAGTATACTTCACTTCTTATTACTTTTATCACTTTCCTTTGGCCAATGACCATGGATATTATACTGGGAGAAGCCCTTGGCATCTACCAATATCCATGCTCTGCCAAAACGTATGAAGATGACAAGAATGAGTATAGTTTAGGCCCCAGACAGCATCCAGAATCATCAGTTAAGTAATAAGTTGGGCTCAGCTCATAACCAGGCCAGCACCCTCAGTTCTTGTATTAGTTCAGCAGCCCCTACACACATTTACTATGTGGCGAAGCATTTGAAGATGAAATCTTTTTTGGTCACTTACATGATAAGAACCACAGTAAAACCACATCTGTGTTTTATTTTTTATGGCTTAATTTTACATTTGTATTTTAAATAGTAACCACATCAAAGCAAACTTTTTTTATTTAAATTATTTTATTGTCATTCAATTACAGTTTTCTGCATTTTCCCCCCATTGCTCCCCCACATCCCAGCCAAACCCACCTCCTTCCCTTGCTTCTACCTTCCCCCTTGGTTTTGTCCTTGTGTCCTTCATAGTAGTTCCTGAAAACCCTTCTCCCCACTGGCCCTTCCCCTCTCCCCTTATACAATAGTTAGATTATTCTTAATTTCAATGACTCTGGTTA